TTGACACCAGATCCCTCACCATGCTGGTTCATGCGCTGATAGTCTTGAGATTAGACTACTGTAGTGTCATCTACATGGGGCTGCCCTTGGGACTGCTATGGAGACTGCAATGGGTCCAGAATGCGGTGGCCAGACTTCTGAGTGGGGTTAGAAAATGGCAACATATCTCCTGGCTGCCTTACATTGGCTACCTGTTCGCTTCTGTAGCGGTTTCAAGGTGATGGTACTAACCTAAACTGTTTGGGGCCTCGATATCTGGCTCAGCACCTCCTTCCAATTAGGTCTTCCTGTCCCATAAGATCATCACGAGCAGGGCAGCTGAGAGTTCTGACCCCAAGAGAGGTCTGGAAAACAGCTACTAGAAATCGGGTCTTCTCAGCGGTAGCGTCACAACTATGGAACTCTCTTCTGCCCGAAGTCCGCCTGGCCCCTTTACTGGGCACATTGGTTATTTAGACAGGCTTCCCCTTAAGAAACAACACGCTGATTCAGTAGTGCCCGATAATATAACATCTATCATACTGCCATGCTTCATGTTTTTATATCTCTGTATATTTTTAATTGTATTTATTGTATTGGAATTTTATCCTCCCCACACTTTATGACTTGTGATTTGTGCCCCAATGTATTGATGTTGTTATTTGTTCTTCATGGCCTCTGTGAATACACACATATCGGTGTTGTCTGCGCCTGCCCTGCGCTGACGTTCTTGGAATTTATGACTTTTGATTTGTGCCCCGATGTATTGATGTTATTTGTTTTTACTAGTTTCTTGTTTGTGTTACTTGTAAACCACACAGAGTGGCCTTGGCTGCCAGATGGGTGGTATATAAATCAAATGTTTGGGACCTCAATGTCTGGCTCAGCGCCTCCTTCCAATTAGGTCTGCCTGTATGTATTCCTGGAAGAAGTAATCTTGCAGTCCATTGGGCTCTGTAGAGGGCTCCTCCCAAAAAATTATACCTCTAAAGAAGACCTACAACTGCCAGGTAGCACTGGGGTAGTTTCCTTGTTTTTGAAAGAAACAGGCTGAAGATCGCATTGTTTCTGGGCACCTCTCCGAATTCCACCTGGGGACTTCTTGGACAATTCTGACAGTTGTCCCAAAAGTCTCATCCCCATTACATAATGTCAATTACCCCCAGAAGAAACAACTCCTGAGTGCTCTATACCTAGAAAACCCTGAAAAGGGTTTCCCATAAGACAAAACTGGCTTGATGGCACACAATATTATTATTTACTAAGTCAGAAGTAGCCTGGTAGCAAATAATAGCAACTGTTCTGAGAAGGCTAGCCAATGACCATCTTGAAAAAATGTAGCCTGCAAAAGCAGTGTTATTTGTCTCCTGATGGCATGGCCGATGTTTAATGGTAAAAATATAGCTTGCAGGTGCATTCAAAAGAAGAAGAAAAATTATGTGAAGTCATAAGCAATGGATGTGGCTTGTGCTTCTAAGCCTGCAATGAATAAAACAAATGTCTCCTTGTGCATGCATAGTATGAATAGCTGTCTAAGTAATGCTGTTTATGGGGCATGTGCATTCTATACATGGAATCTCTACAAGGGGGGGGGATTCTTTCCTGATAAATGGTGTTGAACCAGCTGAACGCTTTGTGTAATGAGCAAACCAGAGAGGAAAATACAGTGGTGCCTCGCATAACGTTTGCTTCGTTTAACGTTTTTTTCGCTTAACGTTTATTTTTTCAGAGTCAGATTGTGCTTCGTATAACGTTTTTCCCTATGGGCGATTTTCACATAACGATTTTGGGACCATGCTTCGCTTAACGTTTTTGGTTTTAGGTCCCCTGCTTCACTTAACGATGTTCATTTTTTCAATTACAAAAGTGTCTTAACATGTTGAAAAGCATTATTTCCCCCCCCCCTTTTCTTGTATAGAGAGATAGATCATGACTGACAGAGTCCTTTTCCTATGGAAGAGCTCAGACTTCAAAAGCTTGTATTTTTTCAGTGCCACTTATTATAATGTAAGGGGCATGCATTTCTTGTTTAAATCCATTGGCCAAAATCTTGTTATGTACTGTAAACTAAATTGTAGCATTTGATCCGTTCTTCCCCAACAGCTTCTAGTCCGTTCCTCCTGTGTGCCACCATGAGAATTGTAGCTTGGGCACTTTGTTTATCAGGGAGGAAGGGACCAAAAGTTACCATTTGGCTAATGCTAAGCAGCAGGACTTCAGCCAATATGTGTTTAGTGTCCGTGATGGATGTGCCAGTCAGGTCTTGTTTTGCATTGTGTGTTTACACGGAAAAGAGAATCACTTTGTAGTATTCTTGGGAACAAAAGGGGAAGATGGTGTGTTTGGGATAATGTGTGTGTGTGTGGGGGGGGAAATGGGACAAGACAACATAAAGGAATTTTACCATTTCCTCTGTTCCTCAGAAGAGAGCAAAAGCAGCTCAAAATGGCTCCACTTCCAAAATTAAAATAAATGCAGACAGAACTGTGAAATGGTTCACTTTGCTTAGCTTTGCCACTCGTTTTATTGCAAATTTACTTTTTGTCCATGGTTTGATAATTGTCTGGCTCGATTGAGTCTATCATTTGTATTAACTGGAAGGTGACAGACATTAAAGAATAATGAACACAGACCAGACAATCTGAAAGTGAAGTATTTTTCTAATGAAATTTAAAGCAAATAAACATTGATAATTACACGTGAAAAGTTATATTCAGAAAAAATAATAGTTCACTAGATTTTTGCATCCTTTTTTTTTCATTCTCTGAGGTTATTTCAGAAATAGGAAGCTGGAAGAACTTCCCCTACCTACAAAGCACAAAGAAATCATGTTTGCAGAAGGATATGTTGGTCAAATTGTAGCACCCTGCATATTTGTCCTTATCCATGATTTGCACCCAGGGATAACATGTCAGTGTAATGAATTGGCATGATTTGTTCACATATGTTTCTTTTTGATACATGCTTTTTTTAAATAAAAAAAGGTGCACTGTGCACAAAGATGTGTCTAAAGATCTAAGCTAAGTGTTTGGAGTGCTAGTAGCTTTAGAAATTATGGCTTGATAAAAACATAATAATAGTAAAAAGGGGGAAACAGAAAATCAAAAGATTTCAGTTAATTTCCAGAGCCCTTTGTGACTATAGATACCCGACTATATGTCGCAGTCATTCCTTTCCTCTCCCTCTTTTTGATCTGAATTACCAAACAAGTTGCATACAAATATTGTTATTTGGGAGCTACCCAAATAACTCAGCCCTCCCGGTGTTAGAGGCAAGGACTAAGGCTAAAATAGATGCTCTGTAACATGAATACAGCTCTTCGGTGGAATGCTGTGCCCACACAGAAAGAAAGAGAATAGAAGCTTTGTGGAAATTAAACCGCTAGTGCTGACCTTGGATCTTTCCCTCTGTACTGTTAATTGTTTGCTGGTTTGTTCATCATCCCCACGTGATTACTAAAAATTGGCAGCTTGTTCTTGTTCACAAGTGTAATGAAATGTACTTAAAAGAAAGAATCTGGGCATTTTGTAAACAGTTCCTTGTTGCTGTCATTATGCTTTCTAAGTAACATCGGCACTCTTTAGAGATCATATTATAAAGCTGGAAAATGAGCGTGAAAAATGAACAGAAAACCAGCACAAGGTACTGTAATTATTTTGTTGCAGACAATACATGCCGGATTTTTAGCATCACGAAAGGGAAATCCAGTCTGAGAACCTAATGTCACTTGTCCTGGTCAGAATAACAGAGTAATGTGAGCTATTAAGGTTGTGTTTCAGACCTTTTAAATGTGGATAAAGCAGAGTATAGGTTCTTTTTTTCCATTTAGAGAGAGGTGAATTATATTTACTGAATCCAATAAATGAATTACAGTTTCAACAGTGAATGTTTCAGTAAAGATATTCCATAGTTTGAAAGCAGTATAAAAATCAGCATCCAGAAGCTGGGGGCTGGAATAAAATAAATAAAGGAAGGAAGGAATATAAATAAATAAACCAACAAATATATATATATATATATATGTATTAGCATGATGGACACAGGAGCTCCAGAGGTATCCAATACATATGTATTAGCAATACTAGGCACTCTGGCTTACATGACAGGAGAGATGTTTTTCCCTTTAGACCTGATGGACACAGGAGCTCCAGAGGTATCCATCACATATTGAACAAATGCAGGGGGAGGCAGGCTGTCATTGTAGGTGGCCTTGCCTCAGCATTCATTCGTGTATCGTGCTCTACGCACTGCACAGAAGACTGCCTTTGTGTAGGTATTTATACTACACCCCTGGATGTAACATCAGAACAGTTGCTGGCTGGCATGGTCCTGCTCATCCCTCATGCATTCAACCACTGTGCAGTGAGATACTTTGGAATGGGGCAAATGATTTTTTGGAGTTGTGTATTTTTCACTGAGAGAATTCAAGGGCCATTCTGTATAAAGAAACTGCAGAATCCTCTTTTGGGAATTGCACTTCAGCTTTGAGGTGGAACTCTCCTGAAGCAGAACTTCCAAAGCCGTATAGGAGATGAGTTTTTGTTTGTTTGTTTGTTTGTTGGTGTTAACAAATTTTCTTCTAGAGTTATATGTATGTATGTGTGCATTTGGTTATGGAGCAAATGGCATTCAAGTCCCTACTTAACCTTTCGTTACTCTTCTCATGATATGCAGGAGGACCACACTCTTCATAATGAAGCATGATAAATATATTTGGTGACATCTGAAAGAGATTTATCTTCAATATTGCTAAAGCCCCTGAATGTATTGCATATAGTAGTTGCCACTGAGTTATTTGCCCTTCATTTTTGTGGTGTTCACATCAACCAAATAATACTTCCTTTACAGAAACTCCTGTAACAAATGACTTGGATTCCAGTATCCTTACTGTTGTTTTCTCTCCCTATTCCCTAGATATGTTTCACTTCCTCTTTGGTAGCAACAGAGAGACTATGAAATAATTAGCCTCTACTTTTGCCAGTTTCCCTACTTAATGGTTTCTGTTTCTTTTGTTCCCTCAGGCACAACCTGTGTGACCTCACTGTAGGATTAGCACAATGACGGCCATCTTAGAACGGATCAGCACTTTGTCTATTAGTGGACAACAACTCCGTCGCCTCCCTAAGCTCTTAGAAGAAGGCTTCCCCAAGATGCCTTGCACAGTCAACGAATCTGATGTGCCACAGCTGTTCCGTGAACCCTATATCCAAGCTGGGTATCGCCCGACAGGTCAGGATTGGCGCTACTATTTCTTCAGCCTCTTCCAGAAACACAATGAAGTAGTTAATGTCTGGACCCACCTATTGGCAGCCCTTGCAGTGCTACTAAGGTTTCATGCTTTTGCTGAATCAGAGTTGTTGTCTTGGGACGTCCACTCTTTGCCTCTCCTCATCTTTGTCCTGTCCTCTGTAACATACCTAACATGCAGCCTCTTGGCTCACCTCCTCCAGTCCAAGTCAGAGATGTCGCACTACACTTTCTACTTTGTGGATTACGTTGGTGTCAGCGTATACCAGTATGGAAGTGCCCTGGCCCATTTCTACTACAGTTCTGACGAAGCCTGGTATGACAAGTTCTGGATTTTCTTCCTGCCAGCAGCTGCTTTTTGCGGGTGGCTTTCCTGTGCTGGCTGTTGCTATGCCAAGTACCATTACCGGCGTCCTTACCCCATAATGAGGAAAGTGTGTCAGGTGATCCCAGCAGCACTGGCATTTGTCTTGGACATCAGTCCTGTGGCACACCGTGTGATCCTGTGCCATCTTGAAGGCTGTAAGGAGACCGCAGCATGGTACCATACCTTCCAGATACTTTTCTTCTTGGTCAGTGCTTATTTCTTCTCCTGCCCAGTTCCTGAGAAATATTTCCCAGGCTCCTGTGATATTGTGGGTCATGCTCACCAAATTTTCCACACATTCCTTGCCATCTGCACATTGTCTCAGTTGGAGGCCATCTTCTTGGATTACAAGAACAGGCAAGATATTTTCCTCAGACGACATGGATCCCTTTCCATCATCCTGTCCTGTGCCTCCTTTTTTGGCTTAGTGGCTTGCAGTGCTCTCACGGCACACCTCTTGCAGCGCAAGATCAAGGTGGAGCTAGTTGTAAAGGAATCCTGAGAGATTGCATTGGGCGACACATTCAGTCCTGGCCTTCTTGAAGAAAACTAGCAGAGAAGAACTGTGTTTAACTACTGTGTGTATATAAATAAATTAACAAAGCAGTTTGTCTTTATAACTTATAACCAAGGAATTGATTGCAGGCTGGAACTACTTTTTTTTAAAAAAAGCTGCCTTAATATTCTAAACATTTTTTTACTAAGTGCACCTGTTGCTGGGCAAAGGGCATTTAGGATCTCTAACAGGGCTCGTCCAGATGCAGCAGCATTTGTTCCCCTATTTGTATCCTGTTGTGTACTGACAATATCAGTATTTTTCCTGCCAATCCGAAAAGGCAAAACAGAAATTGGTACTAACAGTGACAGTGAATGGCAAAACATCTTCGTTTTCAATCACATCCTGTGTTTTTAAAAACCATCTACTGTTGGTTGGTTGCACTCACTTTGTAATGAGGGCAAAATTCAGATTGCAAGTGTTTCCTGAGTCGGATTTTTCAGTTTAGTACTGATCTACTAAAACAACAAACAAAAATCTGGCAGATAAAGGTAATTTTTAAAGGTTTTGCACAGCAATTTTCTAAAACAAGTTGTGAAATACAGGTGGTTCCAAAATGGAATAGTAGTGGAATGAGTCTCTTTAGTGGAAGACTTGGATCAGAAGCTGTCAGTTACTGCTTATCTGCCAAACTGACCATCTAACAAAACCAAACAAAAACAGCACAGATAATGTTGCGAGTTTTCTCAACATATTTTGAAGGAGTTATTTTTGAAAGACAGTGGATTTCTGAAGTAGATTAGAAGGGGTCCTCTGCTGCAAAGGGCTGTGGTTGGGAACTTTGGGTGTTAATCTACTTAATTACAAAAATTCAGCACAAGTGGTAATTTCTAAAGCAATTCTTCAAGATTTCCATTAACATATTATGATTTCTTAAAGAAAAGTGTAGTTTTAGGAGGAAGTGTAGAAAGAAATCTGTACTCGTTCATCACCAACAGCCAGGGGGATGGGATTGGAAACAGTGCTCCATCTGGATGAGTCCTAAAGATGTTTTTAAGGCATTCTTTTTTCTAAATGTTCTTGCTTTAGGGGTTGAAGGTTGTATGTATGTGAAGGAGAAGAACGGATTGAGGAGTAATTTAAAGGAGGGGGAGAAATAACTGTAATCACTCATTTACAAAGGCCTGACTGTCACTGAGAGGTGGAACCTTTGTCTGATTTCTACACTTCAGAATGCAGATCAAGGTTGACTTCAACACAGAATGGTGGGAGGTGGGAGTAGGAAGATGCCTGCATTTAGAAACTGAGTATGTTAAGAAAAGACTTTAAACTGTGTTGTTTTTTTATGTGTAGGGGTTTGGTTTCAGGTACATTTCTCTAAAGGAGGTCAATCATTCAGGTTCCTACTCTGTCTGAAATGGTACAGTACTAATACCTTTGTCATCTGAAGGAGGACTAGGCCAAGGATTCTGGAATTTGGTGAAACTTAACAGAATTCTGAAATTAGGGAAATTGCCTAATTAGGTCTATTCTATTTTAGTTGCTTATGATCCCGATACTATTGAAGTCAGCTATACACATCCAGTAGGCATGGACCTCACACAATTTGTTAGTTTCAGGAGTATTTTTTAAAAATATATGTAAAATATATAGTTGTGTGATGGTGAAACAGGCTAATATTTGGCCCCTGGTTTTTGTTTTGGCTTAGGCTAGTGGTTCTTGACCTTGAGTAACTCACATGTTCTTGGACTGCAATTCCCAGAAACCCTGCTGAGCACAGCTAGTGGTGAAAGCTTCTGGGAGTGGCAGTCAAAGAACACTTAGATTAGCCAAGCAAGGTTGGGAATTACTGGTTTAGGCATTTGGGAATCCAGAATTTTCTTGCAGGTGAGAACAAGCCATTGTAATGGTCTTGAAAAGAAAATTCTGTTTCTTTCAAGTATTAGTATGTTAAAATTGCATTTTTCCTCTTCTGCATAGGCCTTTTTATCTAAGGGTTGGTTACGTTTGGGGACAACTTAACCAGGCCATTTTATTGTTGACCGTGGAGTCAGAGCTGCCCCCACATTTCTTCCACTGTTGATGTGGTTCAGGCAGTACAGTTGTTTCCGTCTGTGCTTTTTGAAAAATTGTAATACATTTAAAGAAGAAGAGAGTGTAGAAGCATACATAAAAGAAATTTGCCATGGAATGGATTAGGACTACAAGTAAATAAAGTGAAGGGATGGAAGAAGAACGGTTGGACTTCCAAACTTCCATTTGCTAAGGGCTCAAGTGCCCATTATACCGTACTAGGAAGATGAGTCTTAACAGGAACCTCCATTAAGCTTCCTTCTTCTCCATCAAACAGGCTTCCTTTAGCTCTCCGTTTATTGATTCTTCCAGCTGATTGGAAAGGCTCATAACCACCATCTCTTTAGGAAGGTGTCACAGAAAGACTGCAATTTGGAGTGGCATCCTTTCTCCCTCATCCATTTATGTAGGCCACTATAGCATTTTGCTGTACAATCTGCTTCAGGTGTGTTTTCTGATCCCTTAAACCGATATTTCCTCAAGCCATTTTAATTGGCAGGAACTTCTTAGAATTACATAAAAGGGAGAGGGATTCCCAAACTTTTTAGCATGGTGCCCCCTTTTCATTTCTTGATAAACCTTCATGACTCTCTGCATGTTTTTTTTATCTTCTCCCACCACATTTGTAGTAAGGAAATCACATCATAATTTGGAAAGGAATACTAAATACAGAAACCTAGTAAAATTACGTATTTTAAATTAATTTTGCAGCATGAAAAATGAAAATTAAGTGGATAAAAACTGATATGAAAATCTCACGGTATTGTGCTTTTTTGGAATTTCTTCCAGGGCTCTAAAAAAGTGCATCACTGGTGAAACAGTTACTGCTGATGGCATAAATTTTATTTTTGCCACCTGTATGTAGGCAAGAGCTTGGCATGGGCTGAGCACCATAGTTAAATATGGCTTTTGCAAATAAGATAAACTGAATGGTTTGCACAGCTGGAAACATATTTATCCCAGTCTTTGAAGAGGGTCCACTTACTCTGGGCCCCAGATATGCATCAGTTGGATTGTGAGGTTCTGTTTTTATAGATTAGCAGAAAGCACTTTAGGCTGCTTTGATAAATTGCTTCATTGATTGTGGAGGGTCAGCAGAGTGTACAGCAACTCACTGGATGACCTTGGGCCAGTCACAGACTCTCAGCTTGAACTGCCTCATGTGGGTTGTCAAGAGTGAATTGGGGAGAGGAGAACTATATGCATTGCATTGAGCTCTCTGGAACTCTCTGGAAGAAAGACAGAATAGAAATAGAACAAATAAGGCCCAGTTCAGTGTTTATCCCTACTTGACTCTATATGGAATGGTTCAGCTACTCCTTTCCTGCAACATTACTGTAATACCAGTAAGAATACATTTTTTAAAAATGTGTGGATCATTTAAAATACTGGTTCTCAAGCCAGGCATAGTGAGGGGGATGTTTGTGTGGCAGAATGAAGAAATTCTAAGAGTGAGATGAAGAGTGCGAGGTGCTGCATCATCTTTTATGTAGCTTTATTTTCTTGCTGCTATTTAAGGTAAATTCAGTTTTATTAACATTTTTATGATATGAAAAGCTACTTACACTATTTAAAATAATTTTAATTGGTTATTATAACATATAAATTATAGGTCAGTTTTTTAAATTAAAAGGAGGTTATGTGACAGTAGTGGAGAGGTGAAGAGGGTTTCTCAAAAAAAAAAAGAAGAAAAAAAGAAAGGGATTTGATGTAATGAAAGCTAGGAAATCTTTCTTTTAGAAATATACCTTTACCTGTAGACAAATGAGTACACTCAGTTATAGTGTGCAGAAATTCAGCACTAGGGCCAGTCATGAAAATTTAAAGGGCATTAAAAAGACTTCTCAGGGATTGGTAATGAAATAGGCAGACATTGTTTTATTAGAGCAGTTTGAACACATACTAGCCTCAACATGGAACAAATGTATAATCCGAATGGCTCTTTGGCCTCAGTGAGAAGATGCTGTGTTCAAAGCTCAGTTTCCATGGGACCAAGTTTCCTTTGTTGGTTGTAAATGAGTATAAAATATTAATTTCCCCCTTTAGCATGAGAGATAATTCTTGATATAAAATCTGCTTTACATCCTTCCTGTACAAGCCTTCTGCATAGGTTGCAGTAGTCCATGAGGCCTGTCATGGATACTCCGGTCACTGTGGGTAATATCAGACATGTACTTACAGTACTTCATTTTGAAACTATTACTTTTCTTTGTGCGTGTGTGGAAGCATACGCATGGTCACACCAAAAGCACCCCCGTCCCTCTCTTTCTCTTTCTCTTTCTCTCTCTCTCTGTCTCTCTCTCACACACACACACACAGAGAGAGAGAGAAAAAACAAACAAACAGATACACACACACCATTAGTTTTTACTGGAACGCTGAGTATGGCTTAGCATGAATGTTTTCCCCCCTATGATATATATATGTGTGTGAGAGAGAGACACACAGAGAGAGAGATAGTTTCTTGTGTGTGGGAGAGAGAGAGAGAATAATTCATGCCAAGTCGTACTTAAAACTTCTAGTCAAAATTAATGCTCCACTGCATCATCCGATTCTACTTGCAGCTTTATGGGATATCAGTGGCAGTTGTGTGTGTAACAATTCATTAATACTGAATGATACCTGAAAGCCATTCTGTATGTTATGCAGAATGAAGCGGTACAGGGAGAATAGGCAGTTTATATTCTGGGCATTGCCTATTTCAATTTGAACTGAAGGATCTTCCTTCTGAATGATCCTTTGTATAGAAATCCCTCTACGTGTATTAAACACACATAATCAAGTGGGGCTGTGCTAAACCTTGGCCTTTAATGTAGTGATTTATTGTCAATATCTTTTTGCATAGTTTCAAAACTGGGGGCACCATTCTCGTATTGTAGTCTGAAGTAGTACTGTTCATAATTCTGCCACCACAGTTTACCACCCTATTCACCTTCAGATTTTCAGTTGCCCTGATGAACCTCCCACAAAAAGGAACACACAAAGGTTTTTTTGGTTTTTTTTGATATCTGTAAAATAGAAGAAAATAATGAATATGTTCAATATTACTCTAGCTAATAAGATGTTTGAAAATTCAGATTTTGCATTGCCCCCTAGAGGAATAATAACAAACCAAAATTGTTTAAGAGCTTTAATAACTTAGATTTTAAAATAGAAATATTTTAAAACTTTTAGTCACAAATGTTATTTTTCTTTTTTTAAAAAAAAATAACAATTTGACCAAAGTTATTTTTCCATGAACATAAATAGTACATCATTGATCTTGCTCAATTTTCTATTCCATAACAAGTCACCTCTATGGTTCCTTTAGCATTCATTCATTGGATGCCTCACAGTTGTAACTACTTACCTACATACTTTTGTTGGAAATGATAATGTGTTGAAAGGTGTATGTTGGGCAGTGGACACAGGAACTACAGTACATATCTGCAAGGAGACTTTGTTACGGTATATGTTTTCTTTCTAACATTCCTCGCAGAAGCAGCGGCGTTTATGAGCTTCTATAAAAGCGTCAAGAAGAAACCATCAGATACTCAGTGGGTTTTACTTTTTGGAAGTCAGGACATCAGAGTGACTGACAGCAACATACTAAACAGTTTGTTTATAGTCACACTTTCATTATTGCAAATTGATGTGTCAAGAACAAAGGGGTTAGAACCAACTTTTCTTACCCATCTGCAGCCTTACACATGTTTGTTAAATCCAACAGTATTTAGGTTTGTATCTAGAGTGATTTGCCAGTACTCATTTTCCCCAGGACTCAACATGGAACATCCTAGAAAGTCTGTGTGCCTCACTGATTTTTAAAATTTATTTCAAGAAAGATAGTATTTGTTACTAGAAGTGTGGGGTGAGTTTTTTTAATAGTTCATTTCTAGAATAAAGAAGGGGTGCTAATTCTGGCATCGCAAGGACAACTTCCCCCTTTCTAACTTCCAAAGTCTGTACTGAAATTATTTTAAAATGTGTACTGTATTAATAACTTGCAGGGGATTGTAACAAATAAAAATCAAAGAATGAAAAAAGTTTGTTTGAAGTGTCTTTCATTGATACAAGTCCCTTTGGGTCCCTTTTAAGAATAAAGGTGGGGTCAAAATGTTTTAAATAAATAATAATATTTTAAATGAAGTTTCCCATCTGTGTATGGTGAATGTGTGACTGTGCAATCATTTGGGTTTTGGAACACAGATAAAATTGACTAGTGAGATCTATTGTGTCCAGTAGATCTCACTAGTCAATTCTATCTGTGTTCCAAAACCCAAATGATTGCACAGTCACACATACATGAGTGTTTACAAGGAATTTTTCCAGAAGGAGCAAAGCTGCATATTAGTATGTGAGCATAATTTGTATGCACAGTGAACATTGCTAAAAAAACCCTATGTATTTTCCATGTATATGTGCAAATAGACTGTTCATTAGGATCATATTGATGTTTTAGAGGTTACACAAAATGAGAGAATCCTCAGAATTCAAAATCTGACACAACTAATGAAGAATACAAGAGACATCACATCACCCACTCTAGCAAAAATTTGCAGAGTAAGAAACATTGGGGGGGGAATTACAGAAGATATAGAAAATCACAGTTCTTATTAGAACATTGACAATATCATGATTTCTTAGGGAGAAGATCCCCATTCCAGAGTGACTTCCTTCATCTTAGAAATGCTGCTGAATACTCTGTAGAGACTAGTGGTTCTATCTACATGCTTGTAGGTATTCTTTTAATGTTTACAATGGAGGGGTAGAGATGAACTAATTTTTAAATAAGAACTGAGTTAGAAAGATCATGAATGGATAGTAGACTTACTACTGTCCAAATTCAGCAGTAGTAAACCAGCAAAGCTTTCCCCATTTAGTGTCAGTCACTACTATGAATTAATTCATTGGCTTGAAATTGCAGATTACTAATAGCTTTCAAAATATCGGCAATATAGAAGCTACATATTTTGCCTCACACTGTCTAGCTTCATTTAAAAAAGAAGACGACTAAGAATAACCTAACAACTTATTGCAAAAAAGCCTATTACCTTGAATGGCCTACTGAAATCAAGATTATACAGAAAAGATCAGACTTATGCTTATGTCTATAGCACTGGGTTTATATTACCATGTTGTTTATAGTGTGTCCAAATTTGGAAACGTTCAGAAGCAGCAGCATTCCTACTGGTCCAAAATGGCTGCTTAAGAGCTACACAAAATGTCAGAGACTCACAGGGATGGTTCTGGAGATTGCTCTTTGCTGATTGTCAGTGTCCATGTCTGTTAAATACATTTAAGATTCCACACCCTCCAAACACAGAAAATCACTAATGCAGTGTGGCAAATACCAACGCAGAGGTAAGTATAGCTGTGCACAAAGTATAAATTGTAATGTTACTGGAACTAAAGCAAAAATAACATTGTAGAATATATGGGAAGAATTTTCTATGCAAGAAAAGCAGCAGGGAAGACGTCCTGCATATAAAAAGCATATTGAAAAAATGCAACATCCCTTACATAATAAACTGAAACTTAATCCAAACAAGACAGAGGTGCTCCTGGTCAGTCAAAAGGCAGTTCAGGGAATAGCGATGCAGCCTCTGATGGATGGGGTTA